ATTAATGGTACTTGATTGATCCCCCATCATCGCCAGTAACCATCCAATTTTCATTGTGGCTCCACACCATTGATTTAATTGCATTATCATGAGCCTGAAAATTCACAGGAACAAAAAAAGAATGAATTCCAATATATTCTATCCGAATTCAAGTGAGTTTCAATATTTTACCTGAAGGATCATTTCAAAATTAAAAGATTGCCCATTCCAAAGTGTGAATTCACCACTCTGCGAACCTGTAATAAGACGCCGTCCTGTAGGAGTCCACTGCACTCGATTTGAATTGCATAAGAATCCAATTAGAATGCGTCAGTATTCGACAAAAATCCCTAGAGTACAATGACTGAAAAAAGAGACCAATCTGTAGACTGGTTTTAGGAAACTTCACTACGTGAGGAAAAAAAAGTAAGCATGCACAAAGCAACTTAAACCTTCAAGATATTGGAATATTCTATTAAACAAACATGAATACACGGTTATCTCATATGATAGATGATATAAATATGCATGACTAAACCTTCAATAATCTATCTATATGCATGAACTTGAAGAAAATAAAAAAATTTCCACATCAACGGGAGGAAGGTAAATCAGAAACTTGGCAATAAGGGGAATAAATAAAAAAATATCCTTTCTTGGCAAATATGATCACTATAATTTGAATAACATACCAAGACTTTATTGATAGAACATCTATTCTTGTTGGTAGAGGCATGGACAAATTTAGCAGCAAAACTTGTGGACGGATTATCAGCACAGGCAACAGTTGGTAACATCTGCATTATTATCAAACTTCAGATGATATAAAATATATTATCAAGATTCAAAAAATAGAAAATATGAAAAATGCATTTTGAACATGTGCAACAAAGGATTATAATGAAAACTCCTTCGACAATGTAATTATAAAAAAAAATTCTGAAAAATCTATAAAATACTAACGTCTACAGCCGCAGCAGAAGTAGGTTGCAGCAATGTCCTGTCTCTAGCATCTCGCTGCCAAGTACGAACCTGAATAAAGTGATGAACAAAATGAGTTAGTGCCTTTGTTTCCTTTGTTGATTTATCCTAGAAAATATGATAATAAGCAAAACTTTAAAAAAAAA